AACATGTGATCAATATCAATAATAAAATACTTCTGATAAAATGTTGAGAATTTCACTGAACTCTGCCACACATCATCCTGGAGGATGTAGACTCCAGACCTGTCATGGCACAGCTAAGTAAGGTTGGTGCCATCAACTAATTTACTCTTTGGTAAACTAGCAACAACCTGTTGAGTAACATGCACAGTAGCAGTTTCATGATTCACCACCATGCCTCAGAACTACTTCAAAATAAAAAAAAAATTAAAAATGACATGGTGTGAAAGGAGAAAATGATGCAACAGCTCGAGAAGAAATTGTGGATAAAAAAGGAAAATTCACATCACCAGTTTGGCAGCATTTATCAGCCTTTTTTTCTAAATGGGTAAAACTCAAAACTAATCAATAATTATCGACTGATATAAGCGATAATATAAATTTTTCAGCCAATTTGCCCAAATATACCCAGTCGACACAGGACCGCTCTCTTGTTCCTCATAAACACAGCATTGTTTCTACAAATGCTTTTATCCACATGGAAACACAGAAAAATGACACAAATGCTRTCGTAACTAGGCCTGTATGTGGCAATGTGACTCTGCTACAATAAAATACATCAAATCCAGGGGAAAAACAGCGTAAAGCAGCTGCTCCAAACAAACATGAAGGAAAAAAAGATGGGTGTCAATACAGAAGAAAAMCAAATCCGTTTTATGGTCTGATGGTAAAGTGGCTTTTCTTTGTGTCGCATTAAACTACTATTGGCTGGAAGTAGTGTCAGTCCAAATTAGGGCTGCCACAAACGATTATTTTTATAATCCATTAATCAACGATTATTTTATTGATTAGTCGACTAATCGGATCATASGTTAACTGAATATAAAACATAGAGCTTATCGCGCCAGAATGCAGCTGCTATTATATAAGCATCGTTAGATTTTAGCTATATGCTAACTAAAAATAACTGCGGTGGAAGGCAAGTTCTGCTCTGCAGATATTGCACAGGTTTCTCTTTCATTTTCTTAAAATGATCCCACACTTTTGAGCTCCGTTGTTGGGTAGCCATGATACCAGAGCCTGTCTGTATAATGTCTTGTGACGTCCACGGCCTACCCCAGTTATCACTACTGTGCATGTGTGTCAAGGACAGAAAGRCAGATGTGGCAGTGGAAGGTGTCAAAGCAGTTTGGAGAGAAAAACAAAGTAAAGAACAACAAAAAAAGAAAACGATTAATCGATTTATAAAATTAGTCATCGATTATTTTAATAATCGATTAGTCATCGATTAATCGTGGCAGCCCTAGTCCAAATAGGCAGACGTAATGGGTGGTTTCAAAGGCTTTATTGTAAATTGTTTAAAAACAAATATCTATTTTTCTAAATTTATACTCTGTTTTCTGCAATATTGCTTTACTGTTGCCATTTTAATAGTGGTAAAATCTTTTTTGATCATAGATTATTTAGAGGAATAATAGTGATTTTGTGCTGTTTTATTTAAGACAATTTTATAAGCCTTATCTGTGCATCAAAGTTAACCAATAAGTTAATGGTATGTATGCTTTAGTTCAGGGATAGTCAATCCTGGTCCTCGAGGGCCGCAGCCCTACTTGTTTGTGTGCTCCAGAAAAGGCTTTTATTATCTACACATCCTCATTAGGCCTTGGAGTCATAAGCGGCATGAAGTTCTTGTCATTACATAGTATTTCTCTGCATATACAGAAAACCTAACATGATTTATTTGTAGCCACCTAAACTGTTGTTCTGTTCTGACTTGGAGCTTAATACGCAACAAAAGTCAGAAACATTTGGTGTTTCCCCAGTGAGGCCTTWAAGGCAGTTGATCTTTCCTTTGTTTCTCTGCTGCCAAAGACGGGGCTGGGGTTGTACTTTTGTTACTTTTTGCTTTGTGTGTCAGCTGGGTGTCACAGGCTGGGGGGCTCTCCCAGTGCTCCTCAGAACTGGGTCAGACAGATTTATGTCCTGGCCTAGTCTACTGGAGCTAATGAGCGATTATTGTGGGGGGGTTCACATCCAAAGCTGCTTGTTCACCCATGACCCTGCAGGCAGTGCTGCGAGAAAAGCAGCATCCTGGACTTCACACCATAAAAGGCACAAGGAATGTATATCTGCCACTCATACTACGTATATACAGTATATTGTAACCAAGTACCTGGAACATGAAACCACACCATTCAGGGTTGGAGCATTTTCAACCTTAAAGCAGGAGTAGAAAAATAAAATGGGCTAAAGCTGTTAATCCACCTGTTCTTTATTTGGCAGCGTCTCATTGTTTGCTTTAACATACAACATTTGGTAACAAGCATAATTTGGTGGCAGTGAAACATTTTTTTTCTTTTCCAGGAAGTAGGAAAATGCATTTGCCTACCAGAAAATCTGATTGATTTTTTTTCTGTGACGTCTCATGCAAACACAAATCCTTTTTATTATTGTACTCARCTTACCAGTGTAGAAAAAACAATAAAGTTCCCCAACTTTGATCAAGAGCCACTTGTTCATATTTACCCAAACATTTCCAAACCACCCAGTATTCTCCCGTGACAAATACTGTTCAAATCAAATTAAAGAATTAGCATTCATTAAAACAATGCATATCCCCTGCCAACCTTTTAACACCAGTGTTTAGACCAGGGGTGGGCAATCCTGGTCTTTGAGTGCCGCAGCCCTGAATGTTTCACTTTTTTCTCTGTTCAAATACACCTGATTACCTGAACTTGGAAGAGGTAATTCACTGCCTGAATCAGGTAAGTTAGAGAAGGGAAAATAGCAAAACATGCAGGGCTGCGGACCTCGAGGACCTGGATTGACTATTCTTGCTTTAGTTGATCAGTTGACTTCTGCAGCACAAACACAAGCATGTAATCTGTCATTATTGGGGTCATAGGTTAGGAAGAAGGTGGGACTTTGGTACTGTCAAACATGCAGGGCTGCGGCCCTCGAACACAGACACTTTTAGGTAGTCTAAAGGAGGTTGATTCCAACAGTTAATGCCAAGGTTTTAAACCAAGATGTTGCACTGAGTGTTGTTTTTAAAGTATCTGCTGGGGACAATGTTTAACTATTATCATATCAAGTTTTAGCTCAAATCTGGAAACTTCAAATCATTTTTGTGTTTGTAAGGTCAGTTGGCTTTTGTGCCTAACTTGAATTGGTCTGTAGATGTACATGGAATATTTTCTTTCTGATGTGTGGGTAGATACTGGATGGATAGATAGCTTTATTGTCTGTCCCATACTAAAACAGAAATTTGTCTTTAAACACACAAAACATCACAAAAAATATGAGTTAAGAAAAAATCCATCTATTGGTTCATCAGATATTTTGCTAACACATTATGCCAACTCATTTCAGTGTCTATAGAGGGGTTAACCTTGTTTGATTCTTGGTGAAAATACTTGAAAGACGCCACCTTTGCTTTGATAGTGTTTTATTGGTATAGTTTTGTCAGTGAGCGCTTTTTGTTAACTTGCACTGAAAAGAAAAAATCAATAACCTGTCAGTCATTTACCTGCTCCTATATTGCTGATATTTAGTTGTTACATGAAAGCAGATTCTACACCTCTGCCCTTAGGTCACTTTCCAGAATCCTTTCTCAGTTGAGTTAGGGTGTTGCTGGCACCGGTGGGCCTTTTGCTGAGTCTGTAGTGATGTGTTAAAACTAATTACCGTATTTATTCGTGTATAATACGTAAAATTTAATCCATAAAATCATCCACAAAGTTGGGGGGTAGTATTATACTCAGATAAATATTTTACTAATGTATTTTAACCGAAATATCGGCTTCATTCGCAAAATGCCTCAGTCCGGAAATGAGACCACGACATAAAAACCAGCTGAAGCGAGCTTACTTCTGACGCTCCTCCGTGCTTCAAAGCGAGATAGTAACAGATCCAGGCAGGTGACATGATGTGAAAAAAAGTGGGGGAAAAGCAGTCCTGCAGCTTAGTAATGATAACGAACTAAAGACATTAGCGTGTGACCAGGCTGCTCCTGGTACAAAAACAAACACGTTCGTCTGTAATGGCTGCCGTCTACCGGTGTTCTGAACAGTTTTGCATCCCTGAAAAAAGTTTCCCCACCAGAGGGGGCGCTCGCGAGTAGGAAGTAATCTGCTTTCCCCTCAGAAGATGGCCCAAATCTCATGTGAAGTCTCTGACTTTTGTGTTGGCGCATCCTGGTGGACTATGTGTAAAATGCCAGAATTCWTATGATGCTGCTACAGCTGATATATATTTGTTGTCAAAATAACTTTTAGTATGTTATTGAAATAAAATGAACAGTGCAATGATCATTTTACTGATATGTATAAAGACTGCAAAGCCTGAAAAATCTTGAAGTCTGTATGAAATTGAAGGTAGTATGAGGATTTAATTTTTTATGCTTTTAAACTCAAAAAGGGGGGTCATATAATACATGAGATCATATTATACACGAATAAGTACGGTAGGTTTCATATAGTGTTTAGAGCTTCTGTTGGCTGTTCTTCGATACAGCCTGAATGTCTCTTCTCATCAGCCCTCCAGATTTACCAGTCAAGCCAGTCCAAACACTTCACATACCCCACAGGGAAACAGCTTCTGATTATTCCAGTGTATCTTTTTAAATGGTATTAAAGCAATCAAATTAGGGTGAAACATATTTACTGTTAACCATCACTTACGGTAAAGATAAATCCAGAATATGATGTTGCTTTCCACAAGTGTCATCTTGTTCAACACTTCCCAGGACTCAGAGTGGAAAGCCTGGGATGAGAAATCTTGTGAGGTGCCACATTTTGCAGTTCTGCATTATTTCCTTTTGGGAAGGGTAGTTTTTTTTCACACTAAGAAAATATGATTACCAGATGTTACTGCACACAATACTACTTTTTTCTTCCACACCTTTAATTCACCTGTACCTTCAGCCTTCATCTTAACATAAGCAGTAAAACAATATGTGGACAAACAGAATTTCCAGTCAAAACACATGACTCACTTCCACTTCTGTTCTTTTTTTTTCTAAGGTATTGGAAAGAACGTAATCTGTGATAGGACTGCCACGCCCCTGGATGCCTTCCGAATGATGTCAGCTGCCCAGTACTATCCAAAGCTGCTAAGCATTATGGGAAATGTGTTGCGTTTCTTGCCGGCTTTTGTTCGAATGAAGGAACTTTTAGAAGAAGGTTACGTTGGAGAACTTCTGGTCTGTGAGGCCCAGGTATGTTGGAAAAAAATCATTGTCACCATCCATCCATCAGTTTTCTCTGTGAGTAATTAAGAAGACACTAAGATTAGATATAGTAATTTTGCACTACCAAAAATTGGTTGCTGCTTTCCAACATAGATGGACAAGTATCTAGGCTCAAATATTTGTTTTATTAATACCTGGATTTCCTTGACACAAACAACTCATACAATAGCAAGAACTTCCTCATCGCATTTTCTGTTTTTGTCTCCAAGGTCCACAGTGGGAGTCTCTTAGGGAAAAAATACAACTGGAGCTGTGATGATCTGATGGGAGGTGGTGGTTTGCATTCCGTGGGCAGCTACATCATCGACCTGCTTACATTTCTGACTGGCCAACGTGCAGCCAAGGTCCATGGCTTCCTCAAGACATTTGTCAAACAGACAGACCACATCCGGGGCATTCGTCAGATCACAAGTGACGACTTCTGCACATTTCAGATGGCACTAGAAGGCGGCGCCTGCTGCACTGTCACGCTCAACTTCAACGTACCAGGAGAGTTTCGTCAAGAGGTGATAGTTGTGGGAAATGTTGGGAGGCTGATGGTCACTGGCACAGACCTGTATGGACAGAAGAACAATGGCGACGGCGGCCCTGAACTCCTACTCAAAGACACCACACCTCTTGAGAAGGCCTCCTTGCCGGAAAAGGCTTTTAGTGACATTCCATCCCCTTACCTCACCGGGACGATCCGCATGATCCAGGCAGTGCGGCAGGCCTTTCAGGACCAAGATGACCGCCGGACCTGGGATGGAAGGCCCCTGACGATGGCCGCCACTTTTGAGGATTGCCTTTATGCTCTTTGTGTGGTGGACACAATCAAGAAATCCAACCAGTGTGGAGAATGGCAGAACATTGTGGTCATGAAAGAAGAACCAGAGATTAGCCCTGCCTATTTAATCAGCGAGGCCATGCGGCGGAGTAGGATGTCACTCTACTGTTAGCATCCAAGCTGCTGTGTACRGCCAGAGCCTTGGTATTACTGGAAGTTCTTTCACTGGGATACTGCATCCAGTTTAACATGCTGGCAGTTTTTTTTTTAAACTTGTGTTGTTACGGTTTGCACCAAGGAAGTGCAGAGAGCTATGGTTTTGCTGCTTTAGCAATAGAGAAGCTACTAGAATATTTTTTTTATGTAAATGCAAAATTTGGATGGTCCACACCCTCCTAACCTCCCTGGGATTCCCACCCATGTATACAAGGTACTTATCTGGAAGTTACCTGGAACATACTCCAGCAAGATGCTTTTGGAAAATCAGACAACAAAAAAAGGCACTGGGAACCATGCAGAAATTAAAATACTTCCTGGTTCATTAATCAGTTGTAGGCGACTCAAAAGAATTCTACTTCTGATATTTCCATTTCCCAAATTGACACAGTCTAGAAACCTTTTACCACCTTGCTGACTCATTGACCAAACAGGTATTACTGATCCGTTTCCTACATCTTTTTGATATGACCTCACTTACACTGTGGGTTCAAACAAGGACAGCCAAGGGAAGAGCGATCGTGCCCTCATATTGTGCCGCTTTGTTGTTGCTGTATTCTAAAGGTGTTAGCTAGTTTTACACAGTGAATATTTAATAAGTCAGTGTGCTCTGTGCTTCATATCTGCTCTGTATTCTTCTTTTGTGTGTTTGTGCAAAAAAAAAGGAAAAAGTCAGTTATTCAGCTGTTGGGTTTCTCCCATTTGGTTAACCCTTGGTCTTTTGGGGGAAAATCGGCCACGCATTTATTTTTGTCCGTGTTTTTAATTGTGTTTATTGGTGCAGTCAAACAGTTTTATTTTTTGTAACAAAGCCTAAAAATTTGTCAGGACTTTTTTCAATGCTCCTGTAACCATTAGGGTTGGGCATAATCGTATCGTGTGCAATTAATCGTCAGAAAAACATTAATCGATTATTTTTTGGCACTTGACGATTAATACGATTAATGGCACCAGGCAGACTGACTGGAGATTACTCGGGTCAGTCCGCTCGGTGCTCCTCTCCATTTCAAATATGACGAACATTGAAATTAAAGTTCTGTATTTATTTATGTATTAACACAATTTTAAATTTGATGTATAGCCCGAAGTCTGTAATTCTGGTACAATTTGGAACATATTTTTATGAAGAGCAAATCTTACCCACTAAATTGGTCATGTGACCAGGATATAAGGGTGTCCAGGGACTCCAGGGGAT